GCAAAAAAAAAAAAAAAACAGTGCACAGGGCCCAGAATTCCTAGCGACGGCCCTGATCACACATAAAATCAGTTATAGTTCGCAATTAAATCCATATCCTACCTTTTCTTGTAACCCGATAAAATTCATGGCAATGAACGTCATCAGAGATTTTTTTTAATCCACAAGCATTCTGAGCATTATTTCCACTTACTGGCTTTCACATCAACCCACAAGTCTTCCTTTTATGCTAGGCTATTTTTATTCAGTTAGATATAAAACCAATTAGGCTATGTCTATGACATCCTTTTACGTTAGTAAACATTGCAAATACATTTGTTGCAAAACGGTATCCACTCACATGTTTAACTTTTTGACTGGCTGTTACGGTCAGAAAAACAATTAATACAGTCACATTATATGTTAAAGCCTGAGATAGCCCATGATCGCTATAGATTTTATACAGGTGTTACAATAATGATTTTGTAAATGGTGATCAGCAACCAAATATTGATAATGTGTAAATTAATGCCTTTTGCCTTGGCGTGACTTCTCACTTTTTGCAGACAATGCAAAGGCAGAGAGTACAGTAACTTAAAAATAGGGGTGAAAATCAAGTTTGAGTCAAGTTTAATTTTACTAAAACCTCTAATTGCCAGATTTCCAGTAGAGCTGGACCAGAATATTCTATTTGTTCGGTGGGTTGGCATTCGATTTTCAAATTTGAGATTGGAATATTCTTCTTTTTGTCCAAACACCTGGCATTCCCCGCGAAACGGTTCTCATTCGCGCTTGAATATGAATCGCCCATGAGTGAAGGAACGTCATGATTCATTTCATCTGGAAGAGAAGACAAAAAAGCTGAAGACTTCAGCTGTGTGGGAGCACTTTAAATTGAGTGAGGACAAGACAAAGGTAGTGTGCCAAATATGCGATTTGAACAACAGCACATCAAGTTTGAAAAATCACCCGAGTTCTGTAAGTAGTATGCCTATAGTATATTGTTGGTGTAAAAAAAAACGAGCTGCTTTTATCCGCCATGTTAATTAGTAATTTTACACATGATAAAAACGTGCACTTAATTTGCTTGGAAAATACTTGCGAATACGGCAGTCATAAAAAAAAACGTACAGTAGCCCAGCTTAATAATAATTTGTCTATATTAAAAGTATTGCTCTTAACAGACCTGTGTTTTGTATAACTAGTGCAGTGTCCGTTCTCGGAGCATATAAACCCTGCCCGCGCTAGGCGCGCCGCTTCCGGTGTAGTGCCGAAATTTGCACCCTGCCAGATTATGCAAGGGGATGCATAATCTGGCAGGGGTGCAGAATTCGGCACAACACCTGCAAAAGTAATTACCATAAATGTGACAGGGGGAAATAGTAAGGAGATATTTGAGTTATTTACTAATAAACTAGTGTTTTCTGAGTCGGTGTCGCAAGGATGAAGTTGCCGATCCTGACTCGCCATCTCCTCAGACGCGCCTTTAAAGAGAAGTGCATCTTTACGGATTATGATTATAATGAAAGAGTTTTTGTTTTTGATTTGTTTTATTTCGTTAGGAAGTAATTTAAAGCTTTCTATAGACATATTTATCATGTCGGTGAGGCATGTAGTGTGTAAGGGGAAACTGAGAGAAGGGGGTCAGAAGAGTGCCTCGCTGGTACAAGTGTGGTTCTCTGTCAATTAGGGGTGTGTACGGCGTGGGTTGTGGCCGACAGCAGCCCAAATAAACACCCCTTTTGCATCAAAAACGCCTCGTCCTTGTCTGAGAACGCTACAATATTGTGAGTGCACACAAATAAAAGTAGACCCTTTACAGCTACGAATGATGTATTACTCATACCTTTATGAGCAAAAATGACGGAGTATCCGCTGAAAAAAATGCACGTGATCGCGCTGGCGCCTCCATGTCCTGCAGAGCGTCTCCGCACAAACTATTGGTCGATATAGCGCACCTTTATCTAGGTTTAACATTTAAACATTGTTATGTGCTTGAATTGTTTTATATCTATAGATTTTATTTTAGGCAAGTCGTGGCCAGGCTAGGGCCTAAATTTGAGGCCCGTGCAGGGCTCTAGGTTCTATTGTATTTTGTTGCAGCGACACGGTGTTGAGAGAAGAATATGTTCAGCCCCCTCCCTCCGAAGCTTCGAAGTTAAAAAAAAAAATGGTATTCGGACCAGCCATAATTTCCAGTGCCCTACATAATTAATTTGGCTGGACAAATAAAAATCTTTAAAGTTATTTTCCTCAGTTCCACACTCCAGCAAGTTAAGGTTTTTTTTGCCTTTGGAGGGCAGAATTCTTGCATACAATAGGCTTGTCTTGCATATAATGGGCTAATTTACAAAAATCAAAAATACATTTTAAAATTTTGGTTCTGTGGTCGAGATGCAAGGAGATGAGATGACCAGAGTAATATGGGAGCTCATAAAAGAGAAACTCATTTTCCCTTATCTGGAGCTCGACCTGCACAGGTGAGATTAAATGTGGGTAAGATTAAGTGTGTGTGTGTCCCGTTCACTGCAGGTGAGCATTTCTCTAATTATATCTGATTTCCCTTGTGAATACTCAGATTTCAGCCCGTATGTTAGTCACTTTGCTGCCAATGAGTTGTTTCTTACAAACATTTGACATGGTAACCATAACACTAAAGGTAATGCCATATTATCATTGTTTGCTATGTGAAATTATAAATTAATTTGTAACCTCCTTTTAAAATCTTTTTATTTCTCTATATTATAAAATAATTCATATTTAAATAATAAGTAAATTAATATTTATTTATTATTAAAATTTTTGATACTGAAATGTATTAGTTTTCAGTTATTTTGATATTTATAACTAATACGAACTTACCACAGATATATTTTAGTGAATATTACTAACGATAATCATGCCACTGAGTAGTTACCTGCCAAGTTTTACAAATATTTCCTGTTTGTAAATACAATGTGGTAATTCTCAAGGCCAAAGGGAAAGGTTATCATCCCATAAGTTAGCACTTTTATTACCTAACATCACTTTCTGTGCTTGAAATTGTTATAAATTGTCAGCATCTGTACTTTTAACTTTATAGGTTATAGTTTGATCTGAGTGGCTCTATAACTAAAACTTATTGTTTAAATAAATGAATTATTCAGCATTGTGCATGAACTTGACCTAGAGGTTTGAAGAATAGTTGCAAGGTAAAATGTTGGTCGGTTATCGGTCTGATAAGACTATTATCAGTATGTTAGCAAACAAGGTGTCGTCACATAAGGGGGATCTCTTGACGCCTGTCCAATCCATTCAGTCACTACCACTGAACTTTGGATTGGTCTTTGAGCTTGTATCGTAAGATTGTTTGCGTATGTTTACCTGTCATTTGTGCTTTTAGTTGTATTGTTGAATGCTGTCTATGCATCACAGGTTTTCTTTGATGGATTGAACAAGTCAGTGGCAACCCCTAAAAATGTATGTTAAGCTGTTTTGAAGTCCTCTAGCGCCACCAACAGTTTTTCAGAATCATTACCAGGCAGTGGAAGGAAAGTGGGTGAAAGGTCACAGCATACTCAACACAATAGTGAGGACACGGAACAAGGAAGGTATGGGAACGTCCCCCCCATCAGTAGTGCTGTATTGTAGCTCTGGGATGCTCTCTCTGAAGTGTGTATGTTAAGTGTCACACTCTTCCTCACTGGTTGTTTGTAGAGTCTCTGAGAGGAGGCTTTCATCAGTTCAGTCACGCATATGCAGAACAGATGAGGCCTTTCATTTGCTTTTAGCAGCTCGGAGCACGAGTGAATTTAAATCAATGTGGGAAACTATTTTGATGGTGCATGGCTGTTCGATGATTTGAAGGCTTATTTTTGGTAGCTGGAAATCATCAACTGAATGTTATTTATTATCTCCTAACCATACCCACACAGAGTCTGCATAAGAATTAGCAGAAATTGCATTTATAGGCATATGTTTAATTTTGTTATGTATTTTTTCTGCCACCCACAATGTGGTTAATTATGTTCTTGATTGTAATATAATTTTGAAAACGCTCTAGTACTCTCAGCACCATCTCACCTGAAACACCCCTACTCCTACATTCAGTGTAGAGAAGGTAAAAACACATGTACACTGCTATTCAAAAGTGTAAGGTCTGCAAACATTTAATACTTTTGTTCAGCAAGGATGCATTAAATTGATCAAAAGGGACATTAAAAACTTCTACATCGTTACAAAAGGTTTCTGTTTCAAATAATTGCTCGTTTCTGAACTCTCTATTTAACAAAACAATTCTGAAAAAAAGTAACATTGTTTCTTCAAGAATATTAAGCAGCACAGTGGGCCAGGCCCGGGCTAGGGCCTAAATTTGAGGCCCGTGCAGGGCTCTAGGTTCTATTGTATTTTGTTGCAGCGACACGGTGTTGAGAGAAGAATATGTTCAGCCCCCTCCCTCCGAAGCTTCGAAGTTAAAAAAAAATGGTATTCGGACCAGCCATAATTTCCAGTGCCCTACATAATTAATTTGGCTGGACAAATAAAAATCTTTAAAGTTATTTTTCTCAGTTCCACACTCCAGCAAGTTAAAGTTTTTTTGCCTTTGGAGGGCAGACTTCTTGCATACAATAGGCTTGTCTTGCATATAATGTGCTAATTTACAAAAATCAAAAATAAATTTTAAAATTTAGAGCATCGGCTGATTGATGACATGGTGGCTCAGGCCATGAAGTCTGAAGGTGGATTTATCTGGGCCTGCAAGAACTATGATGGAGACGTGCAATCAGACTCTGTAGCTCAGGGTGAGTAAAACATGCAGTAAAATAATGATACAAAATTATTGTTTTTGATAATTATCATTTGCACTCCACAAATGCCAAAAAAATCTCTGAAAAAAGTTACCAGATACTAAAATGAATTGTTCAGCATTGAACATTAAAAAAAATGTATGTGGTGGATAATCTCAGTGTACAGTACCGTTCAAATGTTTGAGGACAGTAAGATTTATTTATTCATTTATTAATTAATGCTTTTGTTCAGTATATTAAAATAGAAAACATTTGTTTTAAATTGTAATATGTGACCCTGGACCACAAAACCAGTATTAAAGGAACACTCCACTATTTGCTGCACCCATGGTACGGCAGCAAAGTTCTTTGATTATTACGCCGGGATGTAGGGTTGTGCCGATAGACGATAGTATCGTGTATTTTCAAAAATAGTGGAGTGTTCCTTTAAGTCGCTGGGGTATATTTGTAGCAATAGCCAAAAATACATTGTATGGGTCAAAATTATTGATTTTTCTTTTATGCCAAAAATCATTAGGACATCAAGTAAAGATCATGGTCCATGTCGATATTTTTTAAATTTCCTACTGTAAATATATCAAAACATAATTTTTGATTAGTAATATGCATTGCTAAGAACTTCATTTGGACAACTTTAAAGGCGATTTTCTCAATATTTGGATTTTTTTGCACCCTCAGATTCCAGATTTTCAAATAGTTGTATCTCGGCCAAATATTGTCCTATCCTAACAAGCCATACATCAATAGAAAGCTTATTTATTCCACTTTCATATCATGTATAAATCTCAATTTCGAAAAATTTACCCTTATGGTTTTGTGGTCCAGGGTCACATATTTAGCCGTATGTTTTAATCAAATAAATGCAGCCTCAGTGAGCATTAGATACTTAATTTTATTTTTAAACATTAAATCATCTTGCTAACTCCAATCTTTTGTTAAAAATTATGTTAAAAACTGTTAAAATTTGTGCGTGTTTTTGTGGTGGCTTGCTGGCTTGAATCTGCTTTAAAACCTATCATGCATTTGCGTAATGACATTACTCAGTAAAAGAATTATGAAAGAATTATGGAAAGTATCCTGAAAAGTAATTTATAGTGAGTAAGCTCACTGTTCTCTGTCTCTAGGTTATGGGTCATTGGGTATGATGACCAGTGTGCTTGTGTGTCCTGATGGGCGTACAGTAGAAGCCGAGGCAGCTCATGGCACGGTTACACGGCACTATCGCATGCACCAGCAGGGCAAAGAGACGTCCACCAACCCTATTGGAGCTGAAGCTTGACTTTGCAAATTTAAAATCGCAAATCAAATCAAATCGCAATCGCAATATCTGTCAAAAAAATCGCAATTTGATATTTTCCCCCAAATCGCACAGCCCTATTGGTGAGGAAAACATACTTGCTTTACTTCCACTCCTAATCAATACAATCCACAGAAGAAGCACAACGAAACAGTTTTTCATGATCATTTTTGTCCCATCAGCCTCTATCTTTGCGTGGACACGAGGGCTGCTGCACCGGGCGGAGCTGGATAAGAACGCAGAGCTGCGGGTGTTTGCTGAGGCACTGGAGGCCGTTTGTGTCGAGACCATTGAAGCTGGTTTCATGACCAAGGACCTGGCCATCTGCATCAAGGGCATGTCTAAGTACGTCCATTATCTACTCTGGGACACTTGCTCTGAAACATTTGGTATTTATTGTGGATCATATTTGGTTTGAGTGGTGTTGGACTGCATGAATTCAGCGTTAAATGCTTGATATGGCATAAAAAAACATTGAAACTTGATATTAATGCAGAATTTAAAGGATAGCAACAAGACTTTATTAGCCTGTGTAAAGTTATTTTAGATTTTATATATATATTTTTTTTTCTGTTTATTTCTTTGCAGTGTCACACGCTCTGATTACCTCAACACTTTTGAGTTCTTGGACAAACTGGCCAAGAATCTGAAGATTAAGTTGTCAAGCCAACCCAAACTGTAAAGCTGCTGGGTGTTGACGGGGCGTTCACACACGCACACACTGACGCTCAGCCCTCAACTCACGTCAAGCCGCAGACTCTGTTAGTCTAATTTCCTGTCTAACTGGGACCAAAGACAGAGAAATATTTGACTTCACCACTACAACCAGTAGGGGGACCAGTGCACTTTCAACTGGAAGATAAGAAAGTGTCTCTTTAAATGGAAGGAGCTACTGTAACCTTCATTATGCTTTTAAAAGCTAATTAGAAGCATTCATTTAGTAAATTTTATCACTGTTTATACATTTTAACATTGCAAAGTTTAATTTTTTTTTTTATTATATCCCCTGTAGTGCAAAAATATATTTGTATTTTTGTGCTACTGCTATCTCTCAGGTGCTTGAACACCTGTTGCCTTATTGTCTGCGTGTGTAGTTGTGTTGTCTTCGGACATCCACTCTTGAAGCCGTCCCAGAAACAGTGAGATTAGGTTTTAACAGTGTAAATACCTGCTTTTAACTGAAATACTGTTAGTTCACACCGGTAGACATTCCTGTTCATTGTTCACTCTGTACCACTGTCTGTCACTGCATATATGGTTCTGTTTATGTCAGTCTGTGTGCTTATGTGATCAGGTCTTGTGTTATTATGACGTCAATAATAAATTAGTCTTTTTAAGAAGAATATCTCATGTGTTTTGTCACTGTCTGATCATATTTTTTTTTTTGAAGAAATTAATACTTGTATTTGGCAAGGATGCATTAAATTGATCAAAAGTGATAGTAGACATTTATAATGTTCCAAAGATCTCTATTTTAAATCAGTGCTATTCTTTTGAACCTTCTATTTTTGAAAGAATCTTGAATAAACAATATTATAATTTCCACAAAAATATAAAACAGGACAGCTGTTTGCAACATAATCACCATATCAGCGTCACAATTTCCACAAAAGTATTAAGCAGCAGGATTGTTTCCAACATTGATGATAATAAACAATCACCAAATAATCATTGGAGTGATTTTTAAAGGATCATGAAATTCAGCTTTACCATCACAGGAATGAAATAAATGTTAAAATATATTAAAGTAGAACACAATTATTTAAATTTGTAATATTTCCCATCTGTTTTAATGTATGTTTGAGTTTACCAGTCCCAAACTTTTGAACGGTAGTGTACATTGAATAATGGACTACATTTAGAACTTACTTGCTGAATCGAATTCATATTGTTGTGTCCGTCTCTAGCTGCCTGATGAAATCATAAAGAGGTTCGTACCCTACACTAGATGGCAGCACAATGACGTCAAGACGGACAGCTTTTTAAACGGAGCCTGAACGTTTTTATAGCGAACGTAAATAGCGCTTTTAATAGTATTATTTTTAGTATTATTAAACATTAAATGTGCCATGTATTTATTTGGGAGAGTTTTGAAATCAGTGATTGAAGGGAAAATAAATTCATTAAAACATGAAAAACAGTAAAATAGCCTATGTATCATCACTTCAGGCACATGAATAGGATGTGACTTCCACCAAGCGACCGGAAAATTAGTAGAGTATGTCTGAGCACCAAATAGTCTGAACACAGATTGCTACCTACACACTCCATGCCAAGTGATCTTGACTTTATTAGATGACTGTGACAATGGTTTACCCGACAGAGAGAGAGAGAGAGAGAGAGATGCCTCAGACTGTCACCATTGTGCCGTGATAATTGGATTCTCCCTGTGTGAATGGAGACTCATTCACGAGCTTTGTTAGTGTAAAGATTACTATTGTGCTGCAGGAAGTAAAGCCTTGTGAATATGAAATAGAGGCCAGCGGTGATTCCGACGTCAATGACGTAAAACAAACACAAGCTGAGGTCACTGGAGCACCGTAAAGGCCACTGCTATTCAAACCCCGCCCCCAAAAGATTTCATTGGGCAATTCAACTACGCATCACCTGTCAAGAAAAGTTCAGACTTTATGGATTCAGATCAGAAAAATCAGCGAAATGAATTCTTTAGAGATTTGCCGAGTTTTCACGATATATATTTGGATATATTTCGACTGTATATTCATTTCAAAATATACAAAACAATATATTGCTAATATAGATTATTTTTAAGTGATTTACTTACATTTCTTCATACATTTTTGGCTATTTTGTAATATATTTAAATGTATTTATAATGTTCAAAATATATTTACAAAAATATATATATAAAAATTATATACAAAAATAATGTATTTTACAACCAATGGGACAATGTTAAAACATTTTCTCACAGGTCACAAAAACAGTCAACATCAAAACTGCATTATTTGCACCAAGCACACCAGCATGTCTGACCCTTCAGAGCCTTAAGAAGGACATGGACGTTGAAAATTAATAAACAGATGAATGATTGAGATATGGCTTGATGTTGTTTCTGTCTCTCTCTCTGTCTGAGAGTACACCTTACTCCTGTTGGGAACGCAGTGGTTTCCATGGGGACACATAGCCACTCTACTCTTCAAAAGCGGGCCGAGCAGAGGCAGAGGGGCCCTTTGTGTTGGAGAGGAAAGTGAGGAACAACGCTGGGTAGATGAAAGCCCTGCTATCCTTACGTCCAATCATAATTTAGTCATCAGTGCTGGAGCACAGAATCCAAATAGACACTGAAAACACAAACAGAGAAAAAGAGAGGCTTGTGAGTCAAGATTTGAGCAAGAGAGAGAGATGGGAGGCTGATATGAGGATACATTTCAAAGAGATAAAGGAATAGTTGTGCTGTGGCTCAGGCTTGTTTTTTCATGCTGATGATCTATTCTCTGTACTGTAGTTTGTGCTGAAATGATGGCGCCCACTTTCATCCAATTTGAGAAAATTATGATGCATCAAGTCTATTGTTCAAACCAAAAATAGCAGCCTTGTTTATTAGGACATACTTCTTCTTTGTCTATTAAGGGAGTAGATGTGGGCTTTAGATGGCTGATAGATTTGTTTACTTGTAAAATTAGTTGTTAATTAAAAGTATTATGTAAACATACTAAAGAATTACAAGTACAATCAATAACTACTTATAACATAGCAGACTTTTAGGGGTAGTGCAACAACCGAAGCTTTTGAAGAGCAGCAAGACATACACACAGTATGACTGTGTTAGGTAAAGCCCAACAGACAGCTGTAGAAATACACTACCATTCAAAAATTTAGGGGTCAGTAAGAATGCTTATTTCCATCAATGCTGCATTTATTTGGTCAAATATATTTAAAACAGTAATAATGTGAAATATTATTACAATTTAAAATAACTCTTTTCTGTTTCAGTTATTTTTTTCAATCAGATTTTTTCCTGTGATGGCAAAGCTGAATTTTCAGCATCATTACTCCAGTCTTCAGTGTCACATGATCCTTCAGAAATCATTCGAATATGCTGCTTTGCTGCTCAAGAAACATTTCTTACATTGTTGAAAGAGTGACTGAAAGTTTAAAGAACATAATTTGGTTGAAATGGTAATATTTTGTATCATTACCATCATGGCTACCCACTGCTTCGGGGGGGTGTTCACGGTGTGTGTGTTCACTACTCACTGCTGTGTGTGTGTGCACTTGGATGGGTTAAATCCAGAGCACAAATTCCGAGTACACCATCCTTGGACGCACGTCACATCACTTTCACTTTTTCACTTTCATTTTCAGTTCCCAGAATTTTGAACAGTAGAGTAAGGGCTCATTTACAAAAAAATTATCAAAATAAAACAATCAAAATGGTATAAAATCTATGATAAAATTACTTAAATGTAGGCCAATAACATCCGTTAAAAGATGTGATTTGAAGTGGCACAAGCACATATGAACCTGAATCATACAATGAATCACATTTAAAAATACATTATTTATATCAACCAGTTTGGTGGACTAGCATTTCATTTTTGCTGCCATTTGACAAGGTTAGTAAGGTCAATGAAGATAACTTCATAACCACCTAGCTAAGTGGATTAACATTTCATACAGTTGCTGCTAATTGTCAAGGTTCGCAAGGCTAGCGTTTCGACACTGTTTGCTGTGTCCTTTTTAAAAAAAAATTATCTTCTCGTCCCTCTCTACATGTCACTTACAGCGGCCTGTCCAATTGCAGACTCTCTTAATTGTCTCAGAACAACATAAAAAAGAAGATAGAAAATAAGCATTCAGCACAAGATCAAATGGGGGTCTATGTAGGTCACGCACAATATGGCGCCTGCAAGTTTACAGCTGGTGCTCGTACCACCATTATCCCACAACAATATCGCAGAGAGGAATTATTTGAGCCCATTAGCCCATGTCCCCTCCTCCTACATTAACGAAGCCTTTCTTTAAACGAGCCAAGACAATAAGCTCTCAGAAAGGGTAGCGGGAGGGAGAACAGGGGGACTGGAGGGGAGGTGGCAGGTTTAGCCCGGAGTCCCCGATAATGACTGTTTCTGTCCGTGGCCTGAAAAAGACTTGAATAATGTTTCTTTTTCTGTGGGGACCCAAACAATAGATGCAGGCCTGGCTTCAAGAATGGCAAGCTTTTGGCTATTGGCTATTACAAAAAAAAATCTCATCTTTGTCACTCACACCAAACCTCTTGGCTTTATTATCGTACAAAGTCTTAATGTTGTCGACCACAATTTAAGAATGCATAGATCTTTTATGCAGTTAGAGAATTTGTATGGCAATTCATTCTAGGCCCACGTGGGTTGCTAATGACTGTGATATATGTGCAGTTTGTGTGGGATGTTGGTCTGAGTTTGTGAGAAGAAAGACTGAAAAAATATAATCTCTGCAGTATTACAGAGTAGCTATAAAATGATTTTACACACTCCTACACAACAACTCATGTCATATTCAGTATGTATCACTGCTATGGATCATAAACATTTTTTCCCCCCATGCCATCTCCAGCCTAAACAGCTAACACTGAAGTTACCACCGGTTTTCTGTAATTCATTTTTTAATAACTAATTATTGCCTCTCTCTCAAGTATTATGTAAATGCATATACCTATTTTTATTTATACAGCTATAGTAAATAATGTACAAATATGTACGTAAATCTCCTGTTCCAGATGTATATACCACATTTATATTATTATTATTTATTTATTTATTGTTTTTTCCTTAGTCTGACTTATTTAAATGTTCTCTCTGTTTTCATGTCATATGCATGTATGTATGTACCAAGAGCTCCTAAAAAAACACAACAAATTCCTTGTATGTTTGCACACACTTGGCGAATAAAGCTCATTCTGTTTCTGATTCTGATAGTGGAGGTTTGGTGGCATGATGTCAGGAAGCATATTTTGTTGATGGGTAATAGAGCCATTGAGAATTTGTTATGACTTTTAATACCCCTCCTTTTATAGTCATTGTGTTAAGAAGGAGAAAAAACGTATATTGCTTCACTTGAGTAGCCAATCTGAAATAACACTGGCCTTACAAAAAAGTAAATGCTGTTATGGTGTCATGTATGTAGTAGGTACTGTACAAACACCATACTGAAATATTATGTCCATGAATTTATGTGGCAGTCCAAGATACATTAAAGAATACCATAATACTATTTGGAATATATTATTTTAATCATGACATTAAATGATTTAAGTATGTGGAAAAATAACGGCAGTCGGAACCATTTAACGCAGGGTGTTGTTTCACCCGGTGCGCATTTTCGCTGACGGAACTGAATGTGACAGATTGTAAACAGATGCGGGTGAGTCATTTTCACATACAAATAACATATTATTCGCTCTTTTCATGCTTAGACTTTTTATTATAGTGATTCTCTGATTATATTTGATTCATACACTTGTTACATTCGCTGTGAGTTTAACACAATCAGATGACACAAATGTCATTGTCAGATGATGTAGCTGAGTGCTAACTAGCTTCATGATGAAGTCATCGGCTGAATTCATAGAAGTAGCTGCTTGTAAATAAAAACACAATCTCTGTCAGAAGAGGGGAAAATCTAGATATTAGAGTTTGTTGATCGTCTTTTTTTTTTCTTTTTTTCTTCTTTTTTTTTATACGTATGTTCTCGTATATCTTGTAGCTTGTTTGTGTGTGTCAACTGCACTTGGGTGAACTGCCAGTCCGCATCAATTTAAGTAAGATTATTCAGGATTCTTGTCGATTTAACGTTAAATGTTGTAGTTTTTAAATGTAGCTGAGTGCTAACTAGCTTCATGATGAAGTCATCGGCTGAATTCATAGAAGTAGCTGCTTGTAAATAAAAACACAATCTCTGTCAGAAGAGGGGAAAATCTAGATATTAGAGTTTGTTCATCGTCTTTTTTTTTTTTTTTTTTACGTATGTTCTCGTATATCTTGTAGCTTGTTTGTGTGTGTCAACTGCACTTGGGTGAACTGCCAGTCCGCATCAATTTAAGTAAGATTATTCAGGATTCTTGTCGATTTAACGTTAAATGTTGTCTATAGTTTTTAATCAGTGAAGAACGTCTGGTGTGAACAGTCAGCATTAGATGGCTGAAGTAAGGTGACATCGCTCTGTCTGTTTTTGTCAATCAAGTCACATTTGTTTATATAGATCTTTATACGATAAAGATTGTTTGTTTCAAAGCAGCGTCACCGTAATAAACAGGAAAAAATAACAGTGCTAATGTTTTAAAATGTATCAATTTTGAAATTAATTCAATTCAGCTATAAAACAGCTCTACAAAAGGCAAAAGTGTTATTATTCAACAAATACAGCTGAATATTAATTCTGAATTGTCTTTTAAACACCAAACTGAGCAAGTCGAAGGCAACAGCGGCAAAGAACCAAAACTCCATCAGGTGACAGTATTGAAGAAAAACAACACTTTTGTCTTACAACACTAGCAAAAATGTAGCAAATAATATTTTTTTCTTTTTCCATTGTATTCTTTGAAGATGGTATCATTAGCATCTGAGACCACAGACAGTACTTTTACAGTGTAACAGGTCAAAAGATAAGCAGTCTACGTTACTGGCAGGGTGATTGGTCATGTGTTTCCTCTCAGTCAGATCTATGATAATATGATTTCATGTTCCAGAATGATGACACAGAAGTTTTTGCTCATCACAGTATAACCCTTATTCATTGTGGCAATAACCTGAATATGTTGTATAAAATGGTGTGGCGCAAAGCTCGGTGTGGAGATTGAAGTTAGCTGTGAGATGGTTAAAAATAGAATGGTAGAGAAGGGCCTCCACATCACTGTCTGAATAATTTGTCTAAGCAGAGGTGTGAACTGTGAACATCACCGGCTCAAGTTTTTACTGTAGCAGCTGCAGGTCTGGTTCTCAAGACTGGCTGCTGCTCTACTTAGTTTTTCAAAACTGTCCAGAAAACTTTTGCTTGACCGTTTTAAAGGGATAGTTTACCCAGAAATAAAAAAATCAGTTGTCATTTACTTTGATGCTCATTGATTTCCTGTTGGTCTCGCATTATCTTTCTTTCTTTGTTTCTCTGTTTTTTCCCATGGGTCTGGTGAGTCTCTGATCTGAGATGATGTAATGGTCTTTTAATAATTGATGGTTTAAAGAAAGTGAAAGACCCTGAGTCGGAGTGCAGAGGAAATCAATGTTAGTGTGGGAGGAGGTAGACATGAGTAAGATGAGAAGAGGCTGCATGTTCATGAGAAATGAAAACAGAAAGAAGCCGTACTCATGTTTAGAAAGGCAGAGAACCCCACCCAAGGCTGGAAACTTCCAGTGATGATCACGGTTTGTCTGCGCACCCGAAGCTCTGGAACGTTAGGTAGGCTGCTGAACGGATTCCACGGCCACCTAGGTAGTAGTGTGAAATTGATGGTAGCTTACTATGATTATGCCATGAGTGTTAACACACGTCAAGGTAAGTGGAGTTCAGCTGCTGACTCTATCTCTGTTCCAAATGATAGCTAGCTGCCTACCTCTACGGCATTTTATGCCATTGTTTCAGAAGCCATACCAAAAGGAAGCAGCATTATGGGCCATTCACACAGAATACGTTTTTGTGTGAGATGCAGTGGAATAGAAAAGAACACAGGCTCTTGATACTTGAGTTTCTTTTTACTTTACACAGAAGTTTATATGGAAGATGCTGAAAAAAACAGCAAGATGTGGTGCAACAGGAAAAGTTGTCCATCTAGTGCGTTTACATAGAAAATGCAAATGCGCCTGGCGAGGACACACACCTCCGAAGAAATCCAATATGTAGGTACAACATTTGATAAGAATCGTACTTTGAACCTTTAAAAAAGTAAGTTCTTTATAGTTATAATTTGTGTAGTATGAATGTAATCTAGATGTACAACTCTTTGTCACATTGTCACTGTCACGTGACCTGTCAGCGCAAGTTGTGTCACTTCACTGCCGTTCACAACTCCACTCCCCTGGCTTCATGGAATAGTAAAGTGTCCACTGGATGTGCATTTTGAAATCTCAGAGTCAGCAGAAGTAGTAGGTCATCCGGAGATTTTTGGTCTATTATTTTTTTTATAATTATTGTGAATTTGTACACAAAGTGTGTTGACTGTGTGTTGGTGACTATGTAGAGCATTCAAAGTCAGTCATTTAGGATCTTCTGTTTCATTTAGGATGCCACCTTAGCAGGCAACTGTCTATATAGGTGGTAAACGGCATGAAAGCTTACTAGAGTTTAGAACAAAGCAACCATGTCTTGAAAAATTTCTTGTTTTTATTGTCTATTTGGGGCTCAACTGTTGTACAATTACTGTTGTCATACTTTTTGCTCAAAGGCTGATCATACTAGACTAGAGCATCAGCTGTTCATGGAGTTACTGCTGTATTTACTGACCGTCATGTGCTTTTTTCTCTTGTTTGTCTAAATTCAGGATGTCGGGCCCTGGGGAAGGACGTCCTGGTGCCACATTGCATTTATCACTCTAAATTACTGCCTTACAGACTGCAGTGATTTAATTGAGGCACTTGTCTGAATGTGGCAACACTTGTTCTAGACAGCACTGTTTGTACTCACCTTACCCAGTGCTGATACTGATAGCTGGCATAGCGGTCAGTTCTCATTAGGTTCTTGATTAACAACATTGGCTCATAAAATGACAGTCCTGGAAGGGGTTCAGGACTTTGTGGACCATCTGTTTTGCTACACTTTCTTTTGGGTTCGGACAGCAGATGTGGTGCCCTCAGGCCTTTCGATCCTGCTGTGTCTACCCTCACACACGTAAGGAATCGGTCCGTCCGCTCCATCCCTCTGCTTCCTCTGTGCCGCCAAAACTGTCAAGGTGATGGAGGGTCTGGAGGTCGAGGACATAAGCCCCGCCCTCGAGGCCACTGAGGACTTCTTGCACTGCCTCGATGACAATCAAGGAGATGGCCAGGTACGTCCGCCCAAGCATAAAGAGGCCTCCACCTTGGACAGGTTAAACTCCAGTGGGGTGTGGGGGCTACTGACAGGAAAGCAATCCGAGATATCACCCAGCAATATGGCGTGGGCGGAGCAGACGTCTTTCACTGTGCTTGGCCTACGACATGGAAAAAGGAACCGGGCAAGATCTACCAACGATTTGGCGGCTCATGCCAAAGAAACAAACTCTACCACCAATACATGCAGTGGTGGATTCAAACGTGGCCACAACCGATCCCGTTCAGACGTCAACAACCGCACTTACACCGATAATGGCATACCTGCCATTGACAAAAATACACTCAAGAACATGGCACTGAATGACCACAGAGATGGTAAGAATTAAACTAAAATTTATTGTCTTTATTCATCATTCATATATTTATTTTGAATTGTTGTGTGGTGCAGAGGTCAAACAAGTTCAAATCATATCTCATTCAAAACCAGGTATTTCACTTACAAGATTCTGTCCACACTGAAAGTGAAAATGCTGAGTGATGCCACACAATCACAACCACAGAGCTTTATTGATACTTAATAGCGCAACAGTGCCATCCATTTTTTCAGCGGCCTTGGTTCTGGAAATATTTTTCCAACAGGCATTTTTTTTGTAAAAAGTTATAAACCATGTGGTGAAGCACAAAATTTAAGCAGAAATGTGTGTGATATATATAAAATGGCTGCCCACTGCTCCGGGTGTGTGTTCACGGTGTGTGTGTGTGTTCACTGCTGTGTGTGTGCACTTTGGATGGGTTAAATGCAGAGCACTAATTCCTAGTATGGGTAACCATACTTGGCCACATGTCACGTCACTTTTCACTCAATACAAACTGTCACATTAAGCTTTTTATATCCAGTGTAGTCTGATTTAATTCTGTCTTAACTCATTTTGAAAAGGCTGATTTATTTTTACATCCAGTAAATCAGTACTAGGTTTTGCAAAATGGCAGGTGATACCAATCCTCTTGGCTGTCCTTGCATCTATGTTAAAACTTAATGGAGCAAATTGTTAATTACACCAAAATGTGCCAAAGGGAGCAACTGGAAATAGAAGTAAGTTCCACGCTCGAATGCCCACCGTTTCTTGAGTGACTGGGATTGAATCCTAAGTGACATTAAGGTATTGGCAACCCACCCAGTTTCTAATGCTGATAGATCTACTGATTAAGACTGGAGAAACCCCTACACACCTCACTGCACAGGTCTCAGTGTTTGCGTTATGCTTGACTTGGTTCTGTAGTTATTACAAGCATCAATTTCAATATAGACTGCTTTGTTTGCGCTTATTCTTCAACATCTTGATTTTTAACTCCGAGACTGGCCTTAGATTCAACTTAATTTGAATGTTGTTTTCTTTAAAATATAAATGACATCTTTTTTTAAACACTTTTTACCTTTTGCATTTAATTGTTCTATTTTGTAATAGACGATTACACTAGCGTTCAAAAGTTTGGGGTCAGTAAGATTTATTTTTTATTGATATAAAGTTAAATTAATACAATTAATACATATAGATAAATACATTTATAATGTTACAAAAGATCTCTATCTCTGTTCTTTCTAACAGCATATTAGAATGATTTCTGAAGGATCATGTGACTAGTCATTACTCAAGTAATGACTGCTGAAAATCCAGCTTTGCCGTCAGAGGTATAAATTACATTTTTAAATATATTCAAAATTTAAAATGGTTATTTTAATTTGTAGTAATATTTCATAATGTTGCTGTTTTTGCTGTCATAATCTTGCTGTTTTTGATCAAATAAATGCAGCCTTGGTAATCATAAGAGACTTATTTTAAAAGCAATTGAAAAAAAAAAAATCTTACAGACGCCAAACATTTGAACGGTAGTGTAATTTCAGTCTCTGGCCTTCTAAATGGATTAGGAATATTTTTACCATGCAAAGGTCAGTGGTTGTCAAATTTATATTTATTTCATTTTGGTCAAAAATTGTCTTTAATTGAAGTGCAAAGTGGGTAGAGGTTATACTCAGCTTTTCAGCTGTGTTCATCATGACGTCATGTTATGATGTGACTCTTCCATGTGTTCTGCATTCTGTGTTTGATTACAGCAGACCTGAATTGAGTCGTGCCTACTCATTTGCATGTTTATTGGACCTCAAGCAGTACAATTTTATTGTTAGTTGAATACAGTTATACAGGTCTTAAATTGGATTTACACTGCAATCATGCTGCATCTCGCTGAAGAAAATTGCAGGGTTTATGGATAAAGGATTAAGGAGTCAATCAAGGTTGCTTGATTGTCTTGGTCTGTTTTGTCAAACTGAAATGAATTAACCACCATGTAGGTATACTTTTTTTTTTTAAGTTAGTTTAAGAGACAATGGCAAAACTGAATTTTCAGCAGCCATTACTTGAAATATTCAAGAAACTTTTATTATTATTGTCAGTGTTAAGGTATGGGGTAGGATCTAAAGTATAGTCATGCAGAATAAGGCATTAATATGTGCTTTATAAGTAAACAGCCAATATGTTAGTAATATGCATGCTAATAAGCAACTAGTTAGTTAATAGTGAGAATTGGTCCCTAAACTAAAGTGTTACCCTTCATTGGCTTGATCAGTTTAATGCATTTGAATACAATTATTAATTTATTAAAAAAAAAAAAAAAAGAATGGTAGTATATATTTAGAACTTGTTTGCTTATATATTATATAAATAAGTCGCAGTAAACTTTAGTAGTTTGGTCTTAAAAATGTCCAGATTACATTGGCTTTCACTCAGCTCCATTCTGGCTCACTGTTTGCATTTGTCTGCTTTTTTCCTTTCCTGCTCAGATTTTGAGTCATCACTGATGACTGTTTCCCTCGTGCCCATCCATAAGTGGTAGCAGCACTAATACTGGTTTTATGTGCCATGTCTGTCTCAAATGGGTCTTTTAGCCACTTGCAGATAAAAAGGTCTTAGAAATGTTCAGACTCTGCAGGCAGACTGGCCTTGCACCAGCTCTCTAATTGGGTCATGTCAGCACGCCTCACGTCCTCTCTGCCGTGAAATTAGTAGTGACTCTTTCCATAGCTGTAAGCTATGCACCTTTGAAGACCTCAGAGTGCAAGGAACCCCCCCCAAACATCCACAACGATGCTCCAGAGTGCCAAAGCACATCAAACTAGTTAGTTAATAGTGAGAATTGGTCCCTAAACTAAAGTGTTACCCTTCATTGGCTTGATCAGTTTAATGCATTTGAATACAATTATTAATTTATTAAAAAAAAAAAAAAAAGAATGGTAGTATATATTTAGAACTTGTTTGCTTATATATTATATAAATAAGTCGCAGTAAACTTTAGTAGTTTGGTCTTAAAAATGTCCAGATTACATTGGCTTTCACTCAGCTCCATTCTGGCTCACTGTTTGCATTTGTCTGCTTTTTTCCTTTCCTGCTCAGATTTTGAGTCATCACTGATGACTGTTTCCCTCGTGCCCATCCATAAGTGGTAGCAGCACTAATACTGGTTTTATGTGCCATGTCTGTCTCAAATGGGTCTTTTAGCCACTTGCAGATAAAAAGGTCTTAGAAATGTTCAGACTCTGCAGGCAGACTGGCCTTGCACCAGCTCTCTAATTGGGTCATGTCAGCACGCCTCATGTCCTCTCTGCCGTGAAATTAGTAGTGACTCTTTCCATAGCTGTAAGCTATGCACCTTTGAAGACCTCAGAGTGCAAGGAAACCCCCCAAACATCCACAACGATGCTCCAGAGTGCCAAAGCACATCATCTGTTGTAGCTTTTACTTGCTACCCAAATGAACCCAACCCTCTGAACTCACAGCTTATCAGCACAAGAGGGAGGGGACTGTCTGTTATGTTACAGATGTATAGGAAGGTGCAGTTTTAGCTGGTACATTAGGGATAAGACTTAAAGAAAACAATTGCTTTAATTTACCCTCCTCCTGGCCTCGGTCTGTTTCTATGGGTCTGGCCAGCAGGACCTGATGCCCGGGGCACCCAGCAGGTTCCCGAGTGCTAAGAGGAAAACGGGCAGTTTCCAGCCAAGGAAGTGTAAGGATGAGTGGTGTTGTGGACCAAGAGAGGAAAGGAGATAAAGGAGGGAGTATGTGAAAGAAATGGACAGAGAAAGGAAGGACTGAAAAGGAGTGCCAAAGATTAGGGGTCACTTTTTGCCATTCTGTTTGCACAGCAGCCTGACACACAATAATGTTTCTACCTGCTTTGAGGTGGCTGGATAAACTGTTATCACATAGCACAATAGCATCCATCATAAATGATGTGAACATCTCTCACACAGGGCTCCAGACTAATATGGTGCCAGCATGTTCTGCAAAAGGAGGAACTAGTCATGGTGTAATGGGCAAATAAAAGGAAACAGTAATTATTAACATTGATATATAGCAATTTTTGGACAGGATTTCACACGTATATTTTTAACTTTATAAATTTCTCACACAACATTCGTAAATGTTTAAAATCTTTTTTTTTTTTGCTAAAGTCCTCTGAGAAATGTTATCCTGAAAATAATCTTTTTATTTATTTTTTTGTGGTTGTTTTCTGTAATTCTTAAGGCCAATTTTGCCTTAATAGACCTCTGAGATTATTTATTTAATTTTTCTGTTTCTCATTTATTTTGAAATGTTTGCCTTTTTTTGTTGGGTTGGTAAATTGGCTAAAAATTTACATTTTTATTTAAAGTCCTTTGAGAAATATAATCCTCAAAACAATCTGTTTTAAAAAAAAAAATCTGTAATGCTTCTCATAATATATTTTGGCCTTTTTTGGCTTTTTTTGTTGGTAAATTGGCTAACAAATGTACAACCATTTTTAAAATTAATTTATTTATTTATTTATTTATTGCTAAAGGCCTCTGAGAAATGTAATCATCAGAGAGCAGTTGTTAGTTAAAATAGTGTTGGCCTTCCCTCCAGCATAAAAGGAAAATCAAATCAATAAGTAGAGTCTGATCACGGACTGCTCACCTTAGTACTTATTGTTGCAAAATAATGACTCAAACCTAAATCAAAAGTCTTGTTTGTATTGTACAGTTCACCAGAAAGTACTTGATCCACAATATTTTTTCAAATTCTCCCGTGCAATTTCAGTTCTTGTTTTTGCCATTAGCTTGGCATGGTGTAGTAATCAAGTAATCATATTTACGGTTATTTCATTCAATATAAACTTTTTTTCTTTTAGTCTGTAGTTTGTTATTGGCATTAAAGGTGCTCTTTCTGACATTTTTTTTCTAGCTCATAAGGAAAGCAGCCCTAGCCTGGTGAAGCAGGGAACTCTGGAGCAGAGAGAGGGTCCGTGGGGACGCTGGACCTCCTGTCACGTGGAGCTTACACCCTGTGAGCTGCGTCTCTACAGCCTGGACAGCAGCGGCAACCAGCAGCTATGTGCTGCCCTCTCGCTGTCCCACTGCCAAGGAGTGAGCACGCCCCAGCCGCAGGATGGACGTGTACTGCAGGCTGTCTTCTTCAACAGCACTCGCGTGCAGTTACGCGCACCCTGCCAGTGGGAGGCACTGGAGTGGCGTAGACTCCTCTGGGAACGTGCCTTGGCTGCCCGTCCAGCCAATCGCAAAGGGGAGCTGGCCCGTGCCAACTCCCCTACCCCTCACGAACCCCATCCAGATGCGGTGACGGTGCCAGTCCCTCGACCCCTGGTACGTCCCACGGCCCTACCACTGTTCACCCAACACTGTGCTGATGTTCTTAAGGCTGGCCTTCTGCACCAACTCACCGACCTCAACACCTGGAGGGCCTTCACGTTTGTACTGAGCCGCACCGAGATGCAGGCCTTTCCGACCGAGGGAAGAGGCCCAGTGTCAGAGCCAGTGTTCAGGTACCCGCTGGCCTCCTGTCTGGCTGTGCAGCGGGATGATGAAGACGGAGACACCAGCTCCCGCTTCCAGGTGGTCTTCCCTGATGATGTGCTGTGCTTGCGGGCCGAGAGCGAGTCCAAGGCCCAGGACTGGGTGGAGGCATTGCGCACGGCAGTGACGGCTCAGCGACCACAGTGGGAGAATAACCAAGTGGTGATAAGGAGTAAGCTAGTCAGGGAGCAACGAAACAAGGAGGCCCAGAGAGCTAAACGGCAGTCCGTCACTACTAGCTTTCTCAGCATCCTTACCTGTCTAGCTGTGGAAAAGGGTCTCACGGCTCAGAGCTTCCGATGTGCAGGTGACCACCTTTTTACAATGCACTTTCAACATTTCCTAACTTGTAATAGCTTTTTTGGATTTGGTTCCTCATCAGTAAAATTGTCAGGGAGGAATTCATCAAGGGTCAGTTGCCTTTGCTGAGTGAACATTATGCCTGCATATTTAGTTAATTAGTCTTTGATCAAAATGTTCTCTTTTTCTCTTGTTCACATTTGGCCCCTGGAATAAGATCTCTATTTAGTCATTAGATTAAAAACCTCCTGATCAATAAAATCCAGTGGTTTTTATTAAGGAAATGAAATTCCCTTAAAGGAAATTTCCACCCTTTAAATGGATATGAATGAAATGCTTTCCCACCTGGCTGTAACAACCAGCTTTTTAATGCAGGGTATTTGAAAGCCTCATCGAACAATGACAGCAGGCACCTGACAATAATTGGCCCATATAAAGCGGGAAAAAATCCCCTTTTAGAATCAAAGGCTCCCTGGATGCTGCAATCTGTGCGGAAGCTAATTGTTTGATTCGGGGCCACGAAAGAGATTTTTTTGAATGGGACGTGTTGGCCTAAAAAGAACTAAACAGCTGGGTACATCCCTCCGCTTGGCAGTCCCTCTCTCTGTCTCTCTCTCTCTCTCTTACGCTTTTTCTCTCTAATTTTTATTACCCAAAACTTACAGTTTTGCGACTTTCTTTTAATTTTTTCCCCCCAAACAGATGCTCACACCTTATTTTTCTCTTCTATGTAGATCAGTGCTGTATTGCTTTTAACATTTATATTGCGTGTTTGTTTGAGTACTTTTACAGATGTAGACATAATGAGTGCTTCTAAGGTAGAACTAGGCATTAAATAGTCCTCATTTTTTCTTTTCTTTTAAATAAGACAGTATATTAGTGGTATCTCTCTCAAATGCATCTTTTTCAGACCCTAACCCACATCCAAAATGTCACATAAAAAGAAAGCAAACTGTGATTGGTAATTTTACATGTCAGTCAGACGAGCCCGTCCTTTCTATTTAAAAATGATGGGCCAATCAGAACATGTTTGGGACATGTGCCTTAAACATGCTACTATGAACACTTAAGACCTCCCTGCCCTGCACATTTTGTATGTCTCCCTCATCTATCACACCTGATTCAACTCATCAGCTCGTTAGTGGAGACTGCATCACCTGAAGTGGGTGTGTCAGATATAGGGAGACATACAAAACGTGCAGTGCTGGGGGTACTTCATGGAGAGGTTTGAGAACCACTGCTGTAGAGCATACAAGGACAGCAGATCAAATGGGAAGATCCAGCTGTAGGTGGGAAAAGAGGGAGTGTAGGGTCAGGTGGAGAGAATGGGGTCCAAGGGACTGCTGTTTACATCAAAAAGATGGGTAGTGCATTTGTCTCAAGCAAACACGTGTGAACACACTTACGCACGCACAACCTTATGCCACCTTTGTTTTGAAGTGGATGTCAGCTTGAATAGGGTACATCAAAGCTGGGGCCTTGTCGTCTTTCACATTTATGGAACTACAAAGCCCCACCCTGGGGTTCTTGTGGCGTGGAACTCAACGGGATGCTTGAAAGTGGCGCGAGTTGTAGCCTTTACAACAAGAAAACAGAGAAACCTTCTCGCACTGAAGGACCAAACACCTCCTACGGAGTTGTAACATCTATTCTGCTAGAAAACCATTGTGCAAGTGGCACCTCAGAGCGCCCCGCTTCACCTTTCTTTTTCCTGCAAATACAGTAGTTGCCGTTTTAGGGCAACAGGGTGCTGCTGAAAATGAAAGAGGGGAATCTTGCGGACAGTCATGGAGTGAACACATCAAACGCCTCTTGTTTGGCACAGCTCCCTGTCTTTCCCACAGTCCCAGGTTGGCCCCACTTTTTGTGCAAGGAACATGCCGTTCCCCTCCACTTATGCTTGGCTATGAGATTGGGAAATGTTGAGAACCGTTTTCAATTGTAATTGAATGAGCTTCACACGTGTTAACTGCAAAGCTGCAGCGCCAACCTGCTAGAATCGGAGGCTTCAGTTGGCTCAGAGTGTCTCAGACATCACTGTACCCACAACTAAGGGGATATTTTCTGTGCTGTCTGTCTGGCTGAGATGTGCAAACTTGCACCTTGTGTGTTTGAACGTATGTGGGAACTCATGCGTGGGGCTGTGCTTTACTGGCACAGGCTGCGATGTCCACAATACACAGAGCCTAGCAGCCAACTCCTTCCCAGAAGTGACATGCTCTCTGGCCACTGTCCAGAAGCTCTGTATCCCAAGTCTTGATGGAAATGTGTCAGAAATTTGCTAGAAAACTCATTCAGATGATCTTGATCTAATGTGGCTCTTCTGTACATAATTGTTAATAATTGTTTTGGTACTATGTTTACATGCAATTAAAACATGCATTTACATGCATTAAAAGTTCCATTTAAGTAGGACTAATTTGATGATGTCACATTATTGATTTCAAAGTGATATTTGCGAAGTTGGTCTAATAGACCTAGCCTTACAATGTCATTTGCTTTGCATGTTTAAAAAAAGTCCATTATGTTGCTTTATATTGCAAACTGGTGTTTATCATGTTATTTTAAGGTATTATCATAATCATAAACCGGTTTGTAGCGCAAATAGTTTCACTGTTTACCCCCATCTTAAGCACACAGAATAACATAAGTGGACTTAATGAACGATTAATTGTCGCTTTGAACGATTATGTAATTGTGGCATCCATAATTGTAATCGCGATTAGAAATTCGATTAATTGTGCAGCCCTAACCGCACTTGAATATTCTTGTAGTTATTTACCTACAGTGGCTAAAGAATCGGAAGTCTCACATATTCAACAAAAATGTCTTACTTCTGCATTGCAAAGTAGACACGGATACATCTGACTATAACTGGCCCTAAAAGAGAGATTATGCACAGTGTGTTATTTAGTCCTTTAAAATCAGTTTTACGCATTGTGTTATGTTTAATTGGACAGACCGATGAAGACATCTACTAACTTGAATTTGAATGTTGTTGTCCATATATTCTCATTTTTATGTGACATATGTGAGCTGTTAGTTGCTGGTTCTCCTGTGATGTTATACAGAAACTATGCTTTGGAAGCCGGTTGAATGCATACAAACATTGCCATCAATTTTTTGAGTCACTGTTTCTCCTTTAATTAGTTGCAAAATTTTTGTTTTTCTTTTGCTGAAAAGCACGGCCTCAACTAGCTCTCTCTTAATAACGGTCTCTGTAGCATGAGCGCTATACAACGATTTACTATTTTTGGAAAAGGGTGGTATTTGTGGGTTTACGCTCTGCTTGTATGCTGATTACAAGGCAGCTCTGACACACTTCACCCTGCTGCATGGTCTGAGGTTCAGCCCAAATATCAGGCACCCATCAGCTGTGGCATGGGGGACACCACCTCTGACTTTTTATAGTCTGGGGTCCCTGCCCCTAAAAACCTCAAGTTTACATTGGCAGCACAGTGCAGCGCATGATGTTAGTGCCTAACCTCAGCTATAGAACAACCCATTACGTATTGGTTTGGAAATGGAATAGGGTGAATTTTCTTTTCTTGTTCCAAAATGGCAGTATTCCTTGGCGACGTATTGTGCAAGAGTGTTGTTCACAGAAATAACATTTGCCCAGTTTTTGAAAAATTTATTTTATTTTGCATCCAAAATGGCTAAATATGACACATTTCTCCTTTAAAATTTCTTAGGGCAGTGCAGCAATGTTGCAGGACATGCATAATGTTAATGCCATCATCAAATTATATAGTTAGATTCTTTAAAAAACATGAAAACGTCCAATCTTACTGACCACAAACATTTGAAAGGTAGTTTACATATTACTGTTCATTTTTTTTATTCCTTATTTATTCTTATTTTATTCGTATATTTAAAATATATGTAATATTTACATTTACAATATTAAATATTTAATGAATTTATGGTAATTCGCTGATACAGTCATTTGTCACAGGCAGCACTAGTCTGTGTCAAGCATGTCTGAATTGGAATATAACATTGTTCAGTTTATGTGAATTACTCTTTTTTTTTTTTTTTTTGTGGTTTCCAACCCCAACAGCATATGTACCCATTCACTGTATTTTGTATGGAAAGAGCAGTGTGAACATTCTGCTCAACATCTCCTTTTGAACTGCACAAGTGAAAGAACATTACAGGAATACGGCTGAGTAAATGATGCCAGAACTGTAATTTATGGGTGAACTAACGGTTTTAAATCTGATGGTAAATTATGTAATTTTGCTTACATTCAGGGATGCACGTACATCATCGCTGTTTTAGGCTTGGCCCTTTTCAGCCAGCTAACAATGCATCAACAATAGACCTACAGCGTTGCCTGTAAACACTGTAATCAGTGTCTCCCTTTACAGATATTTGTTTTTTGATTTGTTTTTGTCCTCTCTATCCTACCTCCTATCTTGTCCACATTTCTTCTTCTCCCTATGAAGTGTATAGCTGACGCTACGCTCCACCGAAAAGATTGTACTAGTCTATATCCGTCTGTGCCTGTTCCTTTCATTCTTTTTATTCTTTGAACGTCCACACTGTCCCGGCTCTGGTTCTCCCAGATGGTTAGGATAAGGGACACCTGCCATGTTCACAATCACCTGTTTTGGCTCCTTTGGGATAAGCCTTTTGCTGGAGTGCCCTCTGAACTGTTTGAAGACAACTTGAACAACGATTACAAGACAAATCAATGCACTTTCAGGAGATATCTTGTATTAAATGTGCTCAGGATTTATGCCTGTTCAGTACTAAGAAGCATTTAGATTCTTTCTGTTGTGTCTGGACTGCTAAAAACACCTTTTTTTAGTTTGGGTTTTTATCAGTGACTCAATCGCTGCCTTTTGTGCAGTACAAATCTTTTGAACCCTCTGGATCATCAGTAATATTTATCTGTGTTTAGCCAGGGTTGTGTCGTAAACCTTGACATATCAGTACACAACCCAAACAGACTGATCACCTTCTGCTAATGATTGTCAAATTTGAACAGGGTCATACCCTCTTCAGTAGATTAGGTGGTTATTAATGTTGTCTTTAACCCAGAGTTGATCTCTCCTGTCCCAGGTTTGATTTGTGTTTTTTGAGGTTCTTCCTTTTTATTGTTGCTTTGTTTTTCCTTTTAGGATGTCAGAGGCCAGTGGGTCTGTCACGGTGCGAGGCCAAAGTTTGCTCTTACAGCGGCTGGTACTACTGCCCAGGTTGTCACCAGGACAACCTCTTCCTCATACCTGCTCGTCTGCTGCACAACTGGGACACTAACAAACACAAGGTATGTGTACAGACCTATAAACCCAATCCATATCTTCAGTATCGTTAATAATTCTGTAAGTTTCCTTGGTGAGTTCAGAAATCAGCTTTTGCACCAACCAACAAAACAAACCAGACGTCCAACAGAAGTGATTATAATTAACAACACTGTTTTTGTGGCTCAGGTGTCAAAACAAGCAAAAGAGTTTCTGGAGTTTGTTTATGAGGAGCCCCTGTTAGATGTCCAGCAGTTGAACCCGTGTCTGTATGTGCATTGCGAGGCGTTGGCGGCCGTTCTCAAACTGAGACAGCAGCTCCAGTCTCTCAGGGCTTACCTCTTCAGCTGTCGGGCCACAGTGGCAGAAGACCTCCGCCGCAGGTGAGCGATGCCAAAGAGCAGGAACAGGAAAGGCAGGGTTAGTGAAACTGATCTCAAATTGGACCAATATATAAGTGAGTTTGTTTCTCACCTATTTAAAAAGGGGTTACGGTAATGCAAACGAATTAAAATCTACTATGGCTTATTATTGTGACAAATTTATATATTAAAAAAACAACCATGGAGCAAGAGCAAAACTCACTTGGAAGACTGTAGAAATAACAGGTTGTTTCATCTTTACCTTTATATGTTTGCTTTTTTTCTTGTTAAGAACCCGTATAAGAGATTGTATTGTTGTTAGTAACATCAAAACAGTTGATGGAGTTAGAAAGTCAGTAAGATAAGGTATGCTCAGAAATATTTCATTGATATCAGTGCATGAGTGTATAAATATTTCCTAGTTAATTTTTTTTTAGTAGTCCAGTGTTTCTGATTAAATTGTTTGATTTAGGCCAGCAGGGACACACGCTGAGCTTTTCCTCTTGTAAGATGGCAGTGGAAGTAAATGTACTGTGGAACAACATAAATATTTGTGAAGTCTTGCAAGGCACATAAAATAGTTGATGACTGCTGCTGGTTGCATCTGTTTGTTTTTTTTTTGCACTGCCAGTATGTACAATTGAGGTAGCTTGGTTGTAATATATGTATTAAGCATGTAGCACTAACAAAGTATGAATTTTTAGATGCTATTTCAAGGAATGCATTTGCAGTTGCTGGGAGTAAGATCCTTATGCAGATCTTTAGTGGATTCCTAAGGGCCAGGTTCAGCAGGAATTTGAAGGAGCTGTGTTTATGCGAAGGTTTCGGCACTAAAAGGCTTGTCTATGTGATGAATGCTGCATGCTCTTACCAGGGTCAGTGTGGAGACCACGAGATTGCGCTAGAAGGCCATACACATTCACACCATGAGAGACGAACGCTTGTACAGCTCTGTGATGAAATGTCACATAATGGAAAGCTACCACCAGCTTTTCCTAAAAAAATGGCTCCCCTCCTTTTATATTGACAGTTAATTTAGAGTTAAGTGAACATTTATATTTAGATTGTTAAAGGGAGAGTTCACACACAAATGTAAATTTTGTGAAAATGTACTCACCCTCATGTCTTTCTAAACCTGTATTACAATCTTTATATATGCTGTAAATGTTATTTTGAACTTTTTTTTTTTTTTTTCAGGAATCTATGATGAATAGAAAGTATCATGGTTTCCACAAATATTTAAGCAGCACAACTGTTTTCAACATTGATAATAATAATATTTTTTTTTTCCCAATATTACTGTATATACTGCATTTTTGATCAAATAAATGCAGCCTTGTTGAGCAAAAAATTACATTTTTCCAAACTTTTTACCGGTAGTATATACTGTATATGATCAAACTGTTTTTGTCCATACAATGAAAGACAGTAGGGTCTAAAACAACTTTGGACCCCATTGTGTTCCACAAAAGAAATTAAGTTTGTATATGTAAATATATGTTTGTTGCAACACAAGGGTGAGTAAATGATCACAAATGTTTCATTTTTGGGTAAACTAAGAGGAAACTACAGTTTTCTTTCTCCTAGTGTCCATGAAACACATCTTTGGATTGACAGTTCTTTTTGTGGTAAACTAATTTCCATCTTTTTCTATTGAAATAAAGTACGGCGTGACAAAAACGTTCAAATAAAAAAAAAACTTCAGATGTTGACTTAATGGTGTTGCTAATGCATTCTTAGCTACATGTTCAGAACACTGTTTGTTGTTTGAATCACTGAATTATTGAATGGGCCAGTACCCTTTCCTATGTATTGGCTCCTTTGAACTCCATGGTGACGTAGAAGCGAGATAGCCGTTTGAAGTCCAGACATGAGGGCTCTAGCAAAGCGAACCTCAGTTTGAACTGAAAATCCTCTCTGAGGTTCATCTCCTTGGAGCGGTCCCAGCTGCCTACTGAGTGGTGACTTTATCTGGCCGCTGTGTTTACGGGGTGCAGCAGCGGTGACCCTAGCAGGAGGCAGCGCTAGAGGGGTAGTGTTTATGTCCAGTCTATTAGCAGGCATCAGGCTAATGCTACGCTTTTCCAAACAGTGTAGGATTGATGAGGGTGGTGGCGCTAAAATATTACCTTAGCCATTCATTGCACAGCCGGGACGCTCATCAGCGGTTGTGAAGAGGCCCACGAGTGTTTACACTAAGCCACAGAGAGAAGGGTGGGAGCTGTCACAGTCCACACCGTTGAGCCTGATCTAATGCACCTCACTGATCCACACACACGCTTACTACCTTTGTCTGTACCTTTTATTCGTTTTTCCTCATGTCTGGGATTGGGAAATGAGAACCAGTTGAAATTGATGTATAGTCCATTTCCAGAACTATTATGAGCCAGATCTTTTTAGTGATCCAAAACCACACAGGACAGCCAGTGTAGTTCAGTTGATTCCCAAATGAATGACTCTTATAAACCAGTTCTTTTTGTGAATCAAACACATACACCTTACTGTGTTTTGTAGTGCTTAAGACTTGTGACACTTAAATTTAAATTCAGTCATCATTTACTCACCCTCAAGTTGTTACAAACCTGTATGAATTTCGGAATAAATGAATGAAATATGAAATTTACACTACCGATCAAAAGATTGTTGTTGGTAATGTCTTAATGTAGTGTTGTCAAAAGTACTGATGTCTGTACTTAAATTTAAAAAATGTGTCGATACCAGCATTTCCCTCTAGCATTTTGAGCGCTGTTGTGCGGATTCTTAAATAGCTCTGATTGGCCATTGTGTTCACTCACTCAACAGATATGTCTGTGATTGGCTACAATGATCATCGCTAAGCGCTCTTCACCGAGCGCTTTCAAAGCCGCGTCATTCAGCGGATCCCTAATATATCTGCTCATAGACGGATCCGCTGATAGATGCTCAAAATGTTAGCGGGAAATGCTGGTATCGTCATATTTTTACAATTTCAGTACCGACATCTGTACTTTTGACAACACCATCTTAAAGTCTTATAAACTAAAGTCTTAAAGCTTACTCAGGCTGCATTTATTTGATCAAAAACATTTTAAATACTGTAATATTGTGAAATATTATTACAATTTAAAATAGCTGTTTTAAATCATGTGTTGGCAAAGGTGAATTTCCAGCTGCCATTACTGTACTCGATTACTTCGGTGTCACATCATCAGAAGTCATTCTAATATACTGATTTGGTTCAGTGTTGTGCTGATTAATATTTGTGTTTTTTTCTGGGTTCTTTTAATATATAGTTCAAAAGAAAAGCATTGAAAAAACTATATATATATATATATATATAGATATATATATGTTTGTTTGTTTGAACAATATAAATATGCATATGTTAATATGTAGTTAAGGACATGGATTTCTTGTCACTTAAAACATCAGTGAAAAGGAGTAAATGTACCTTTTGCAATAACTGCTTTACATTTATTCATTAACAAACCAGAACCGTTAATTCCTTATGTTTTTCCCAAGCCTTATAATTTTCTTCCATAGAATGGTGTCTGTTCATTTGTTGAAATACTTGGTAGTTTTAAATTAGCACAATTCTCTAAGTAACAGCTACAAGAAGTCCGTTTACTTAAATATGGTGCCTTCAAACTTTTCTTCTTTGTCTGCTTTTGACCAACCACAGACTGCAGCATATCCTACAGTTTCTCTGCCTTAAAAGAGTACTTATCCACAGGTGGTTGAGAGAAAAGAGCAAAATCAACATATAGTACCTTGCTTATGTGCTTGCCACCCTCTGATTACTGTGGCCGGATTTGGTGCTCTTTTGTTCGACAACAAGCCCCATATCGCCTGGTTACCACCACGGTAAACACATATGTATTTACCCTGAGAAAGGACAAAAGATAAAGACATGGAGCTCTGCCATGAGCAGAGATGAATTTATGCTTGAGGAGATAGAAAGCAGAAAGATGTCTCCATAACCAGAAGTAAATGAACACCCAACGAGACCCAGGTTTCTTTTCACACACTGTCCTGACTTGAACAAGCTTTACAAAGGCTGGCAAATCAGAGTAACAACACATCCGCAGGGATTAAGTTCGGATTTCGTCTGGTCATACAGAAGATAGCGCATTATACCATGGAATCTTGTCAGTGCAGTATCTTTTCTTTGTCAGCCTTCCTAAGATGTTCAGTAATACCTCACTTGTTATTTCAGATTTGTGGGTATGTAAAGCTTTGAGCTCTGTGGTTTCCAGACCCTTTATTAAGGCATTCATACCTCTCTAAGACCGCAAATCTGACAGGTGTGATCTGTAAACACTTCAGTGGAAAATTCTTTATTATTAATTATGATTACTTAATAATAGTCCTATTAATAATTCTTTTAGTACTTTGAATTACAAACTATGAAGAAATATTTTGGGGAAAATTCAGTTCCATTGCCGAATTGAGATAATTTTGATAATAAATACGTTTAAAACTAATTTTTTAATGAGTTCACAGTTTTTTACTGCCATTCAGCTGTATGTGTAGATTTACTAAAGAACCGACTCAAAAGAACCATTGGTTCAGGAAAAGACAATGTTTACTTGGTCTGTTTTTGATTCACGAAAAAAAAAAAATAATTGGTTAATGAGAATAATTTGTTTGGTAATCAAACTACTCTTGTCATGCTGAATGATTTTGATTCACTAAAAAGAACCAGCTCAAAAGATTCATTTGTGTGGGAATTAGTTGGACTACACTGGTTGTGCTGTGTGGTTTTGATTCACTAAATAAAAGACATACAAGTAATTTGTTCAACAGTCAAACTACGCTGTTCGAACTGTACACTTTGCGCTATAGATTTAGTAGTGTTTTCATTTGCTTTTTTTTTTATCAAAATGGTTCCTTTTTTTCCTTAATAAGTTGAAAGAACACATACAAATGATCTGACCCGTCTGAGAACAGTACAACATGATCAAGACAGCACATTTACACTCATTTTGGGTTTTAATGCATATATTTCTTAAACCTCAAACAACGCATGACAGCTCTTGATAAAGTATCATTTTTGACGTGCCTTACGTCAAACACGCAACAAAGCAGCTGTCATCAGCTCTATTTGTACTAATGACACCTGCTGCAACTCTTGTCTATTGACCCTTAAGCTTTCCATAAACAAATGAAAAGAGATTTCATCCCCAGCTTAGTAAACATCCCACCCCCTGCCTCCATGACTCAGTTTAGACTTAGATTAGCATCGTAATGATGGCTTGGCCTAATGAGGCCTGAGGGACGAACTGTGAATTGGGCTGTTTGGAGAACCGCAATGCTTCTCTTCAGCCAGTAATGAGATTATGGCAGTGAATGAGGAAAAATGGAGCTTCACCACAACCCCCAAAGCTGAAAACTGAGGTGATGTCCAACGAGCCACAAATGCATTTGGGCCACATGCATCAACACAAACTATTTTAAATCATATGTGACTTTGTATACATAATATAATAGCTACATTTACTCCTAAATGCCCCATTATTGCTCAGAACTACCCAGCATACTTTCCTCCCATGTCATAATGCCATAAATTCCTGCTCTCCTGTCTTTTAGGTGTGTTTGTGGCCTGTAAGCCTGTCTCTAATTGTCAGCATCTGTCTGATGGCCTGCTAATGATGGACCCAAGCCACTGAGGAAGCGGAGTGGATGAACTATTAGTGGGCAGGAGTAAAGATGTATCGGTTTCCAGTGCCAGACTACTTAATCAAACCAATTTTCCAGCCTGAAAAAAGGCTCAATCCTGTTGAAGTAGTCAGCTATAGAGTGTCTACGCCAATAGCATTGTCTGAATGAATTGTTTTTTTTGCATCTCCAATGAGGATCATTTCATTAGAAGGAACCGTCTGTTCTGTTTGCTTAGTTGTAAGTGGATATTATGGACTAACTATTCATGTGGTGAAAGATGAGATCAATAACTTCCGATATCTCTCAGTTTTTCATTTCGTTTGCTTCTCGTAACCGCATATCCTCTCTTTCTCCTTATCTCACAGTGTGCCTGTTGCTTTCCCCGTCCCCTCTTTTCTGGATAATTCTGTGGGCCCTTGAGTTTGTAATGTGAGCAGGCGTGGGTGAATGAGAGAGGGAAAGAGCGAGTGTAGGCTCATGGGAGGAGAGAGGTGAAGAGGGCCATAATAGCCAGCCAGATGGAGAGAGAGAGAGACAGAGCCGCTCCACTTCACCTATAATAAGGGGTAGTGCTTTTAAATGCCTATTTTACAGCCTTTTTCCAATTCAATTGAATTAACCCCTATTTCCAAGCAATTTGGTCCCATGTTGTCATGGTTACAGAGACGGGATGACAGGATACTAGCGTTCCACCTGAAATGGATCTGTATGTATATGTGTGCAGGCTAATGCAGTTATTTTTCTACAGATATGTGCAGGCTCAGTTATGACTTGAGGTAACATTCATATGCATTTCACACTAATGTGATTTTTTTTCTTGCCGTTTTTGCAGGATCTTTCCGAGAGAATACCTGTTACAGCATGTGCACCTCTACTCATTGGCAGATCTGCAGCAGGTAGTTTTATCTCTTTCCTGTATTAACATCTCAGTTTTTCTTTAAACACATATATAGTAGGCTCACACAGCATTTTTTCATGCTTATTCATGATTGTTTCGTGCTATGTGAGATAATCTACGAAATTCTGCTGAATGGAGTACAACACTGTAAAATGTTTTACCATTTGAGCTGAGAGTGCGCAAATTAACAAAGATTTCATAAATGAACATGTAGGATGTGTAGAACGTTGAAGGATTTCAAACTCTGTCAACACATAACAGTTGCTCCAAAAAGTATTAAAATTGAATGTCATTGCACTAGATACAAAATATCAATCCAAATGGCATTCACAAGCAAATTATGCCATCATTGGCAGATCTGCAGCAGGTAGTTTTATCTCTTTCCTGTATTAACATCTCAGTTTTTCTTTAAACACATATATAGTAGGCTCACACAGCATTTTTTCATGCTTATTCATGATTGTTTCGTGCTATGTGAGATAATCTACGAAATTCTGCTGAATGGAGTACAACACTGTAAAATGTTTTACCATTTGAGCTGAGAGTGCGCAAATTAACAAAGATTTCATAAATGAACATGTAGGATGTGTAGAACGTTGAAGGATTTCAAACTCTGTCAACACATAACAGTTGCTCCAAAAAGTATTAAAATTGAATGTCATTGCACTAGATACAAAATATCAATCCAAATGGCATTCCCAAGCAAATTATGCCAGGCCTTTTTTTTTTTTTTTTTTGCTTATGCATGAAGTCAGTTCTCATTAATTTCACATCACACAAGTGTCCTAGCATAGTAACCACAGATATTCATCACTGTAACTATTAATATGATCCAATAACAATATATTTTTCTCTGCATGTTTAAAGGATTAGTTCACTTCCAGAATAAAAAATTCCTGATAATTCACTCACCCCCCATGTCATCCAAGATGTTCGTGTCTTTCTTTCTTCAGTCGCAAAGAAATTAAGGTTTTTGAGGAAAACATTCCAGGATTTTTCTCCATATAATGGACTTCAATGGGAACCAACGGGCTGAAGGTCCAAATTGCAGTTTCAGTGCAGCTTCAAAGGGCTCTACACAATCCCAGCTGAGGAATAAGGGTCTTATCTAGTGAAACGACCAGTCATTTTCTAAAAAAAAAAAAATTTATAAACATTTATATGCTTTTTAATCACAAATGCTCATCTTGCACTAGCTCGACATCACGCATTACATAATCAAGTTGCAAGGTAACGCGAGATGTAGGCGGAAGCACCAACCCAGTGTTTGCAAAGCGAACGTGCAAAGAAAGTCAAGCACCCTTTACAAAAAAAGGTAAAACAACGATGACGGACGATTTTGAAGTTGGAGCAGAGTTTTTCGCCCTACCCTGCGTGAATTTGCGGATGCGCAATGCAGAACTAGTGCAAGACGTGCATTTCTGGTTAAAAAGTATATAATTTTTTTTTAGAAAATGACCCATCGTTTCACTAGATAAGACCCTTATTCCTCTGCTGGGATCGTGTAGAGCCCTTTGAAGCGGCATTGAAACTGCAATCTGGACCTTCAACCCGTTGGGCACCATTGAAGTCCATTATATGGAGAAAAATCCTGGAATGTTTATTCTGGAAGTGAACTAATCCTTTAAAAGTGTACACTTTTTCTCAGCCTCAGTGTCAATGACACACTAACCTTCTGCTTTTCACTTAGTGTTGTGAATCCATCTATAATAAGTTTAACAGGGTTTCTGCAGGTCTTGAAAAAAAATTATTTTTCCCTTCCACAAATTAAGGCCTTAAAAGGTTTTAAATCTAAGCAGAAAGTCTTAAATTCGTAAAGTCATTGCATTAAATGTTGCATGCACTGCAAAATAATGTTTTTGTCAGCATTTTTGTCTTGTTTTCCGATACAAATATCTAAACAACTTTTAAATCAAGATACATTTACTTGATGCAGAGTGAAGATGTGAATTGCTTTTGGAGAAAATAAGTGACTTTAAAACAAGAACAAGCATCTGTCGATGACGTATCTGATTTAAGTTGATTTCTCTGAGCCCATTGGCTGATATTTGTCCTTTTTTAAATCATAAATTCACTTTATTTTGATAACTTTCCCAGAAAACATCTTAATTTAAGATTTTTTTTTACATTTGCACTGAAAAACAAGACAAGAAATACTTGGAAGGATCATTTTTGTGCAGTGTGATCAGAAGGTACATTCAAAGTTTTTTGTATTGGAGATTGGTTGAAAGTTGTGCTGCCAATACAACTCATTGTGTTCTCTTTAGACATTTATATATAGAGAACATATTGACATATTGTGTTCCCTTTAATTTATTCCTTGAATTTTCTTTAATTGGTCTTAAGAAGTTCTAAATTTACTTTCATAAAACCTGCAGAAACCCTGGTTAACAGCTCATATTTTCATCAATTTTAATTAATTTGCTCCTGTTTTTGGCTTATTGTAACATCAACTTTTTTCTCTTCTCACAGTCATCGTTAAAATGTTTAATTGAACTAAAATAAAAAAAATGGACATGCTTGAATTACCTTACATGCTTGAAATAACTATATAACTATAGTAAATATAGGAAACTGTGATCTCATCTCTATTTCTCTCTCTCCTTTCCTCATTCTGCACCCCGTTTCTCCATAGCCCCCTGTTACCGTGCCTGAATTTGTGTCATTCTTCTGTTTCTTAGGAATGACCCCTGCCCTTATTATTCTGTTGCTCTCAGAACATCTATTCTCCTGTCCCACATCCCCTCTCCCTTCTGTCTCCTGGTGGGAGGCTGGGGTCCCTCTCCACCCCTTGTTCCCCCCACCCAGCTAACTAATTACTGCCATTCAGGAGCAACAGGCAGAAAAACAAAGCGTGACAGTCCTGCCTCTGCTTCCATTCCATTCTGTTCTTCCCCAACATCCCAATGCCTGACACTGCCTCTCTGCCCTTTTTTCACATGTCCCTCTCCACCCCTTGTTCCCCCCACCCAGCTAACTAATTACTGCCATTCAGGAGCAACAGGCAGAAAAACAAAGCGTGACAGTCCTGCCTCTGCTTCCATTCCATTCTATTCTTCCCCAACATCCCAATGCCTGACACTGCCTCTCTGCCCTTTTTTCACGTCTTTTACATTCTACATGTCAATTACAGTTTGTCTTTTTTATTTAATTAATAGCAACTTTTATTTATTTATTCATTTATTTTTAATTATTTTTAATCAATTCAGTTGATAAATAATGTTTAAATATTGTATTTATTTATTTATTTATTTATTTATATAATATTTTTTATTTTTGCCACAAAACAAAGCAGTCTCTTTAAACCTCAAACCCTATATAAGACCAGTTGTAATAGGGATGCTTTCTCTCTCTTTTTCCCAGGGCTCTGATGAACAGTCTTTCTCAGTATTGGGTCTGTGGGTCTTAAAACAGAGTACAGTGTTACAAACACAGTCCGGGTGTCAAAAAAAAAAACTCTTTAAAAGTGCATAATATTGTTTTCTTTTGTATTGTTTATTTTAAATCGGTTATCTGTCACAATACTTTGTCTCGTGCTTGCATCTTTGAAGGGAAACGACACGGTTCTCTGTGGTTCTTAAATGCTCTCTGTACTGTCAGTACTTTGTCCCTCCTCTTCTCGTGTACTTCTTATATATGGCATTCGCCGCAAGGCCTTTATGCTGTCTCCCCCACTGGCCCAAATTTGAGGCATTTCCCATTCACGTCACATTACTTTCCCTTTCAGCTTCTTAATTGGCTTACCTTATTAAGGAGCCATTTTCTTTTAGTGTTGCTACTTAATGCCGGTTCCTCCGCAGCTCTGGAATGCTCACCCTCCGTGTCGAGGTCACTGAATGCTGAACTATCTCCAGCAAGTCTCCAAACACTATAGACTAAAACCAAATGCTCTCCCCATTTAGTTCGAGCAATTAGCACAGAGTTTTGGGCAGCCTTCTTTTTAAAAAAATGACCCCGTTGACCATATTTGCTTACGTAAGACTTGCCCAGAAGCCAGCTTTGTTTGGCCACAGCCTTTTGTTTTATATCTCCACTGAAAGAGTAAGAAAAGTTTACTTAGTGCAGTGAGATGGACAAAAGTACGAGTGCAATAAATGCTAATTGTATTGTATGTGTTGTACCAAAGGCAACAGCGTTGGTCTTCATTGAGCTCAGGCGACAACGTTCAGGTCCTCGGCCTTTTTTTGGCTTTTAATATATCCATAAAACTATCATGCTTCAAGGGTACCTACATGGCACCTGGTCTACTGTGACCAAAACATTCACATGGTCCACATATATGTTGAAACGTAATGCTGTTTCTCTCGTGCCCACTTCATACGATACCCTGGCAGGCCTCGCACACGCTGGTTGTAATCCTGTTTTGCGAGGCCCTGGCAGGGAGGGTGTTATCCAAACAGAGCTCACTCTCTTTTTTTATCTGTCTAATCTGGGCCCTTTCTCTGCCGTTTAATGGAGCAGACGAGGACATTAGGGCCAGGGTTGAGGAGGGGATGAAGAAGTAGGCGCTAAACTGTGGTTTTAGTGGATTAAACCGCTAACGACAAAGCACATGCAAGACAGGAGCAAAAGGTGGGGGATTTGGGGGGAGTTGATTTGGCAGACGTCACCCATGCTCCACACAATAGCCCATAATTTAAAATATAAGAAATATAATCCCTCACATAGAAACTGCAATCCAAATGACTATAAAATATCCCCCTATAAATACTACAAAACATAGCCCTATAATAAAAATTATAAAAAAGCCCCCCAAAATGATGTAACCATTTCAAAACACAGGAATATTCAATGATCACAAACCTGACTCATCTTTAACCATATTTTCAAATGTAGCTTAAACTGTGCAAAAGTAGGACACTGTCTAATATTACTTGGTAAATTATTCCAGTTATTAACAGCTCTTGCAGAACAAGCTAAACGACCAAAATCAGTAACCCTAAAATGTTCTTCAATCACCTCATAGCGAAGCTCTTGTTTGTCTTATATTTTCA